AAAATAAAAACATATATAAAGTGTATATTAAAATATATATTGCGATATATAACCTTAAAAAAATATAGATATAACCTTAAGAAAGAATATATATTATGTACATGTAAACGGGGTGGGTAAGGCTATAAAAGGAAGAATGCCAAAAGAAGATAAATAGTATGTATATATTACTATATTAAATTTTATAAACTTGTATAAAAAATAATATACAATATTTTAAAATAAAGAGGTGGGGTCTAGAAGCCCACTTGCACTTGGTCCCAACCCAATTTATTATTTGGGTTCAAGATTTGGACTCGAACACGACTCCCAAGTTCAAATCTTTGACCCATACCTGACCTAAACCCAGACTGGGTAGGTCTTCGGGACTCGGTTAGGGTCTTGGTAAATTCCCAACCCTATTCCAACTGAAATGATTTCACTAAACTTTTTAGCAATCTTCATTTTGTAATGGTTTGGAGATATTTTACGTGCACTACCTGCTGAAGAAAGCATAAAGTTTCGATTTGGACATTATTGATATTTAAATTAGCACTAGTCACTAGCTAAGTCCATTTGTAACCTTTCCGCTATTTACTTCCGTACATTTCGTATAAGCACTTATTTCATACGTACCGTACTTTTTTTTTATTTTTAAATGTAGATAATAAATCCGTTTATAATTTATACATAAACGTTCCAACTCATGTTGGGTGGACAAAAAACAGTATATCTATAAAATGAGTGTAACAGAGTTGAAGATATTGATGTGAATGAGTGACAAAACAAAAACGGATGAAATAAATCCATTTGAAAAAGTTTGTGTGTTACCAATAGACAATAAGATAAGATATAATAGATTTAAGTGGGCTGGTTATATGTGGTGTGGACACAGTACAATATCGATTAAAAGGTGAGAGTTAATTTAAGTGGAAAAAATATTAGTACTTATGATCTCACTTAGAGTTTGACCTTAAATAGAACATAATGGCTCAATTAATTGAAAAAATGTTATGATGACAATGTCGAGTATCAAGATTACAACTCATCTTAATCCTTGTAAAATTTGGTGCGTGAAGGTCAAAACCCATCTTAACCCTTGGATGTAAAATTTGGTACATGAAGGTCAAAGCTCATCGCAACCCTTTTATTTATTGGAATTAGAGGCAAACAAGATTTGCATTTTAGTGTAACCTAGTCTTTTTTGAAGACCTTTATTTTTGCCACAATGAATCATTATAGACCGTCAAATGTGAAATAGGGTGACCGAGGGTGCTTTAAAGTCTGAGAAAAATATTCAAAATAATTTTTAAAAACTATGCGATACACTTTAAACCTTTCGGGTGTAACATTTAATGGCTACGAGTGATTGTGACTTCCGTATATAAAAAATAAATGACTTATATAGTATACAATCTCTTATATTAATAACATATAGGTTTTTTCTCAAATATTTGGAATATAATCAATAATATAATTGAATGATTAAACTATGCTTCGAATATTATTTCTTTCTCTCCTGGCTTTATGTTATCAGTTCGAAAATGGAAAGATACTTACAGTTGAAAAAAACAAGTTAGGAAAAGGAAAAGGGTCATGATATTTTTTCCCCTTTTCTTACCTTTGAATTTTTCTTGCATGATTCCGTAATTTCAAGAACAATAGAATTTTAGAGAACAAATAAAGCAAGGTCGTTCACATTTTAGAGGATGGAGGTCAAAAGACGATCACAATTCACCACATTGCATAGTAGGAAGGTCGAACGGTGGAGAAATCTCGAAAGCACACTCCTTTCATTCTAGCCATCCGATTAGTTGGGCATTGGATGTGTCTCACTCTTATTGGATGCATTCCCATACCCCTCTCTCCCTCTTTGTTCACAAAAGGCAAGGGTAATAAGTGTCCTGCAATATGTCACAATGGAAGAGACTAACAGACATTTACGTATGCACCCTCACTTGATAAGCAAATTAATATTTACTAAAACGTGGATCGAAATTGAAACCGGCCGATCTAGATAGAAAACCATCGACGATGAATTGGATCTCACAGAATATGGAGATTCGGCCAGTTCCCCCCATGATACGATCAGTTATGACTGGTTCTGTAATAGAACCGGCCACAATTGGCACCACATTTTGTATTTTTACTTTTTTTTTTTACTTATTGATTTGATAGACCGGATCGTTGATCCGTCGAATTGAAACGTAAATCTAGATTCACGATTGGGGTCAGTGATGCGGTTTTTGAAACCTTCGTGCAAACTATCATAAGAATGATTTAGTTTAGAAAAGAAACTACATATTTGAAAAATTCATCATTCACAACGCATTCTAATATTAATATTTAAAGGAAATGGTTTGATAGGGTTGCAACGTAAGTAAAGCCTCACCTCATAATTCATGGAAATTTACAATTCAAGCATTGGAAAAATTTTACATCGATCATCTCGACTTGAAGAAAAAAAATAGGACTTCAAGCTTTAAAAATAATGCATATTGTACTAAATTATCTAGCCCGTTCATTTTGCCTTAAAAATAAGTATTCACATATCTGCAAGATCTGTACTATTTTTTTTAGTTTTAAATGTTATTTTTAGTGTTGAAAATTAATTTTAGAGCCACCATGGAGATTTCTTTATCCGAAAGAGCTTTTGAGACGAAGATTTGAGGTGCTTTAGGATGTTGTACAAGGGAGATTCACTTTGCACGGTAGAATGCAACTTCCACCGACGGGCAAGAGATGGGAATTCTTTGGTTGGATAGTACATTTCCGGTCCCCTATCCCTATCCTTCCTCTTTTCTCTTTTTTTCCTCTTGCTTTGTTACTCTCTTTTGTAAGAAGATATTGTATTTTGGATCTTGCTCCTTATTTTTTTAGTGAAAGTTACTGTTAATGTTTAAAAAATAAAAGAAAAAAAAAGAAAATAAACGAGTACATTTTCAGCTCTTGGCGTTGAGAGAGAAAAAGAGAGTTCTCTCCCGCACGCAAAGATGAAAACATTCAAAAAAGGGAATGAGATTGGGGCACCAGGGATTAGGGGGATGATGCCTCAACATAACGTCTCACCTTCTATTCTAAGGGAATGAGATTGGGGTATCTAAGGTGATGATGCCTCAACATGACGTCTCACCTTTTATTTCCACTGTGAACATGTTTTTTTAAAAAAAGAAGAAGAGAGATAGATAAAAAGAAAAAAATTATATAAGAATGAGACCCTAAACAATCAAATTCAGGTGCACCTCGAAAATTTACTAAAAGAGGTTACTTCAATGCTAAAAAACCCTCAAGTTCGATAATCTCGACCTCAAAATGTATGGACATGATAAAAAATAGATTTCAAGTCTTGAAAATAATGCATCTTATAATATATTATCTAGAGCATTAATTTCAGGATTTTCAAGTGTTCATAGATATATTCGATCTGCATTATTTTTTAATACTTAAATACATTTAGAGATGAAAATATATTTCAAGCAGTTATAAAGATTGATGACATTGAAACAAAATATTCCAGCAGTATTTGAAGTTGGCCATGGTTCAGGGCCTCTATAATATTGTTAGCACTCCAAATTGTGGGATGCAACAACCTCAATCTTGTGACCAACCTAAAAAAGAAATATAAAAGAACAAAATAAAATTTTATACGATGTACCTGAAAAAAATTTACCTCTTAAAATCGATGTAGTCATCTAATGTCTAAAAATTAGATGACTATCGACGATTTAAGTGTTTAAAAGCTCAAAACAAATGCCACAAAATCTAACGTCAATTCTGAAGTTTGTCACAAACCCATACCTACTTCCCTAACTTTCACCAAACAAATACCATTTTCATGTTCCTCAAATTTCAAAACTCCAAAAGACTACTAAAGATCCCCTCTCACCTCAACCTGAACTGGTAAACATATTTCCTCCACATCCTCAAATTGGAGACAATAATGAATACTTTAACACACTAGCAATAAAAAAAAAGAAATTATATCAAAATGCATCTCAGAGTTAGAAATAAATAAAATATTAAATAGTTATAAATGAGATGCATTTTGATAAATTCCCACCCACTCTCGTAATTTCCCATCCCATTTTCGTCCCTCCTTATAAAGCCAAGGGAGTTTGTGCTTCCGCATGAGCTTATTGTCTATTTACTCCTTCAAGTAAAACTTGGATGTAAGCTATTCAAGCCATAGACTAGTTTCAATAAAAAAAATTCCAAATTGCTGTTCTATGCATTTGAAAAAAATAGTGTCTCATGATTCAATATAGACTGTCCAATTTTTGGAGGGTGAGATTAAATTGTAAAAGAACTAAAAGTTCAATTTTTCTTTTCAAAATAACCATCTAGTGATTCTAAAAAAATTTAAATAAAAAGAAAAAGTTTATATAAGGTTGACGCCTTAAATCGTAGAATTAAGAGTAACCTCAAAAATCAATCGGAATAGGCTATTTTGATGTTGGAAAATCATCTAATTGATCATCTCGACATCAAGTTGTACGAATGTAAAAAAATAAATTTTTAAAATTTAAAAAATAGTACATCTTGCAACACATTATCTAGACCGTCTATTCTCAAGATTTTCATGCATTTATCGAGCTGCGTAATTTGAACAAGTTTTGAAGTTTAAAATTTAATAATTAAAGATAAAAATAGATTCTCGTGCCATCCTAAAAATTTTCAACATAAAAATTCATCTCATAACAAAGTTTGGAGGTGCCACTTATTTTGATTGTTTAAGATTGCAACCTTATAAAAACTTCACCGAAATGGAAATCCAGTATATGTACAGTACAGTATACTCCCACAAAAGCATATTAGACTCGCCGGTTCACATGAACACCACCCCACTGCGTGAATTCCACTAGCAAACCCTCCCTTTCGCACCTGTAGTTAGGTGAAAACCCCAGACACTTTTGAACGTTGGTATGGTAATATCGAAATTTTCCAGAAATCAGCTCCACTTTCGTAATTTCCACTGAAATGGAACCCATTTCCATAAGCTCCTCCTATAAAAGAGCTTGATTCATCTATGTCGAAACCCCATCCAAACTCTCCACCTGTTCCCCAAGTAACCCCTACTGTCTGTCTCTTATCCACCAACTGAGAAATACCCAAAATCCAATCGGAAAACTGCAAAACATTGACGGCAAACCGGCCAGATTGTCGGAACAGATCTGAAAGCCGACTAAATCGCAGGAAAAGGAGATAAAAAATCATCGGACATGATTAGGCGATTGCTCCGCGAGCCATCTCTAGCTCAACCGCCCGAACCAGCAGTGGACTCGGACGTTGTGGTCGTTTTAGCCGCTCTTTTATGCACCCTCATATGCGTCGTAGGGTTAGGGTTTATGGCCCGCTGCGCATGGCGTTGTCGAAGTCCGGGCGCCGAAGCCGGGATCCGGCGGCCAGAAAATTCGGCCAAGGGCTTGAAGAAGAAGGCCCTCCAGTCCCTGCCCCGCCACGTATACGGCCAGGATTCGGAGGCTGGAAAATCAAGCGATTGCGCGATTTGTTTGACGGAGTTCGTGGACGGTGATGACCTCCGGGTCCTTCCTGGTTGCGGGCATGGGTTTCATGTGAAGTGTATCGACACGTGGCTTTCATCCAGGTCGTCTTGCCCGTCCTGTAGGCTGATCCTACGGCCAGGGACGGCCGGGAGATGCCAGTTGTGCGGTGGAGCGACCGCAACGTCGTCTGCCGGTGTGGACGGCGGAGATCCCGGGCTCAAGGCCGGAGAAGATGATGCCAATAGGTTCTTGCCCTAGGATACCCCTATCAAACTTTGTATTTCCTTTTGCCCTTTTTTTTTTATTATTTATTCTCGATTTTTTCCTTCTATTTCCGCCTTGTGTAATTCCTGTTTCCCTTTTTTTTTTTTTTCTTTTTCCTTTTTGTACAGTATGAGAAAGCATCATATTCATTGTGATATTAAATGCACTAAATGCTGGGAGCCAATTATCGTTATATTTCTATTTTATTTTTTTTACTTGCTAAAAGAAAATTAAAAAAGGCCTAGGTTATTATGGCTATTATCCAAGGTTTTTGTTTTTTCTGGTGTATATTTAAATATACTTTAGGGCCATTTTGGTCCAAAATTTACCTTTCCTAAGCTAGTTCACTGAAAATCTAATTAGGGTGAAATTTCAGATAAATTTAGGGCCGAGTTTGTGGGGTTACGATATTTTGCGGAAGTTTGAGTGAGTGTCTTATCCGTTGGATATGGGCACGTGGCCTCGTCACGTTACTTGGGGAGTGTGGCCTCACTTCACCAGTTAGTTGTTACACAATTATGACGTGTTGGAATTTCATGGAGATTAATTCGAATTGCTAAAATCTGTTATAATTAATAAATGCAATTTACTATTAACAAATAGGAAATGGAAACTTTACTTTGAGCTCTTACCTAATAAAGAATGCAATTTTATATTAATATACTTTGCATCTAATTCTTGGATTTTATATGATGTAAAGATTGAAGCTTGCACCGTTTGCAAGTTGTTCAATGGAAGGAAATAATTTAATTTAAATTTTGAAGTACTTTTGAGAAGGTAAGAATATAGAGAAAAGAGGTGTCCCCAATAAAATAAGTAAATAAAAAGATGGATAAAAGATTGTAGAAAAAAGTTCAAAAAAAAGAATATAGAGAAGAGAGGAGAAAGTGAGGGAGAGAAATGTGTCAAGGAAAATGCTTTGATAGGGCTGCAGCCCTATCAAAATAAGTAAAGCATCACCTTATAACTCGTTGAAAATTGCAATTCAAGTATTGAAAAAAACTTTCATCCACCATTTAAGTCGGACGTTATAATTGTAAAAAATATTTAAGATTTTAAGTTTTAAAAATAATGCATATTGTAACAAATGATCTATACTTTTTTATTTTGCCTTAAAAATAAGTGTTCATCAAAGACTTGTAAGATTTGTACATGTTTTGAATTTTAAAATTTAATGTCAGTGATGGAAATTGATTTCAGAGGCATCATAAAGATTTCTAATACTGAAGGTATTTTTTTATGAAGATTTAAGGTGGTGATTTATTTTTTATGCCTCATAAAAACTTCATCAGTAAAGTAAAGGTATCCTCCACGTACGGAGGTGTATATAAATATCGTGAAAAAAAACAGAAAGATGGGAGAAAAACAGTGTGTACATTTATGCTTGCTTGTTTGTTAAGGAAGAATCCTTGTGTTTGGGGCAAGTAGTGACAATAAGCAACATCGAGATTCATTTACCCAATTCATCTAAGAAGAGGGTAATCATTATTGAGAAAGGTTTTTATATTTTTCTTACAGCATATATGATTTAGGCTTTCCCTACCATTCAGCCTTCCAATTTTAATCAAGAGAGCCATTCACTGATTGACCGTAGATATTATATCTCAAAGTATTTTATTTTTAGTTGTTTTTATAAAAATTATATTAATATGAAATTTAGTACGTGTCATCTTCTCAATGGGGCACACCTATAAAAAATATTAAAAATGATTTTTTGATAAAATATAATAACCAAAATACCCCTTGAAACTTTTTATTTATTTTTATCATTTTATTTTATTGAAAATAATTTTAAAATATTTTTCGCTAGTGCGAGTTAATTAGAAGATTGAAAGTACAAAATTTGGTGTCAAAATAGTTTATAGAAAAAAAATTGAAATAAAATAGTGTAGAGACGTGACATCGTGATTAGGGCAATCTTAGCCCTCCATTTAGAATAGACAGCTGGTTAACGAGAAATATATAAGTTTTATGTTGTACGAAAAACATAAAAAGCTTGCCCATCATTATTTACCCATTCATGTTTGGAGAGAGACATAGCCAAGGCTAAGAAAAAGAAAAAGGGGAAGGGCAAATTTTGGTAAGAGGAAGAAAAAGGAGGGGATTTTTTTATCCTTTTTGAGTTTGGTCCTCACTAAAATCTTTGAACTAATCATTTCGCCAAGTCTATTCAGAATCAGCCTTTTAGAATTGCCATTCTAGACCGATGGAGAGAATCACCTAAAAATTGGTCTCAATTCCTCGACCCTAGTTGATCCAGACTGATTAGCAAGTTCGATCTTAAAATCCGCATTTTTAAACGATGTTTTATACGTTGTGTGTCGAGATCGAGAGAGTCGACACCACAAGATCGATTTTTACCCAGAGATTCGACTTTTACCCTTTCTTTGTTTAATTTCCCACGATTATGTGACCTATGAAAGGAAATGAAATATCTTTCGTTAAAAGCTCATCTATCTTATGTAGACAAAGATTCATTAGAGGTTTTATTAAGTGACCTATGAAAGGAAATGAAATATCTTTCCCCAAAAGCTCATCTAGTTTATGCCGACAAAGATTCATTAGAGGTTTTGATAGTGCCGATCAAAATTTACTTATAATTGAAGTCAGTTACGTGAATCTTGGTATGTCATTCTACTTATTTAATGACCATACCCTCACATTCTTTGGATATATTTTTTTTTGACCACCTAATATTCTGCGCCATAAAACAAAGTTGGTCTCACCGATAGAACTTGTCTTTCAGTTTTATTGGTATATGACAATCACATAAATTTTTAATTGTATATCTCCACTTCACCTACGGAGCTCTAATTTTAAGTGCCACATCTTCCTCAACATCTTTATTTTTTTTATATTTTCAACCCAAAATATGTAAAATATAGAGAATATGTGAGACGGGTCAAAATAGCCTTGATAGGTCGAGTTTACCTTATCTTCCCCTTAATTTATTACCGTCCAACAAGTTAGTAAAAATATCTTCCTGAAAAAGCACAAGAAGCTTTTATGATGGGGTCCATCTATTCAACTATTCCATAGAAAAATCTATCACGTTTTCCTTAGGGTTGGCACGCCAATTATCCCATGCCCCAACATGGTAATGGCACTTATCTTTTCTCACTTTCCAAACTTTTGATGAGTTTAGTCATCCTGTCTCACTAAAGTAAAGAGTGCAATCATTTTGAAAACCTCAAGAGAACGGCCTTCCATTCATTTCCACTTACCCAAGGTGTCCCTTTCTCACTCAGCCTAACCTAAAGCACCTCTTGTTACCCAAAACGATCGTTCCCCTCGTCCTCGGGGTTATCGTTTTCCATACTTAGCCACCGTTATTTTTTACAACGTCACGGCGGTAGGTTGGTAGTACCGTCTGAGTTTCTCAGCTATTGATCTAGGTTTCGATTCTCACTAACAAATTCAAAAACTATTGACTATTTCTATAATGGGTAAATGTATGTATTCCCCACTAATCTACAAAAAAAAAAAAAAATTGGTGACTTTGTACAATCTCTCTATGTGGTAATTCATCAATTCCCAAGGATAAAACCTTGATTTCATCTCTCTTTCTCTCTCTCCCCCCTTCCTGTTTTCTCTCTAAGTCAATTATTTCATCATTTCCAAATATACACCTTGATTTCATTTCGTTTGTTTCATCGAGTATTGAATCATCGTAAGGAACAAGCATTCAACAATCGCTGCACACTTTCTTTTTTTTTATTTTTTTATGAAGAGCCATGTGACATTTTCCTTGTTCTTTATTTCTATTTGGAAGCCTCATGTCTAGACAAGTTTATAATTTTGTATATTTCCCACATGAAGTTATGTACAGACGACCATTCAAGAGTTCACAAAATCTGATCCTAAGTATTACTTGGGGGTGAGGTTTGTATAAGGATATTGTAGAAGTCAAGTGCATCTATAAAATTTACTTAGAGATGTTGTTTTGAGGTCAAAAATTTTATGATGGCTTCAAAATATCTTTCTATCTTCAGTTAAAAAATTTGAAATTTGAAATTTTAAAAGTAGTATAGATCGAGCAGATCAATAAATACTTGAAAATCTTGAAAACAGACGGTCTAGATAACTTTTTACAAGATGTACTGTTTTTTTAATTTGAAATTTGTTTTTTTTTCTTCATATCCTTTCATCTCAAAGTCGAGATGATCAGTTGAAGGGTTCTCCCATGTAGAGACATTCTCCACTGTAGGACTTTTGAGATGCACATTTTCTCAACAGTATAAGGTTGCAACCTGACACAAACTTTTCCCATTACTTAATTTGGGCTTTATGTCACAGTTATGTGATCAATGGACTAGCCTTTACAGAGATCTCTGAGTCATAAAGAAGTTACAAAAAGTATGCCATGTCAAAAGCAACAAGAGAGAAAGGAAGATAGAGAATAACCTTATTTGGATAATACTTTTATGATTCCAAGATAAAAGGCAAATAAAATTCCCATATATCCAGATCTTCAAGATGGAGTTCCAGTACCATTCATGTTGCTTGGCTTATATATGATGTGAAACAAACTAATTGCCTCACCTAAAAAGCTTTCCAAAGGTAGCTATAACAATATGCCCATCACCTTCTCCACCACAATTAGGGGCGGCAACAAGCCCGGTCTAGCCTGGCTCAGCCTTGGCCGGAGTCTGGCACTCAGTCGCTATAGGCCCAGCTTGGCACGTAGGCCCGAAGGGTCTCTAGCCTGGTTCGGGCCTAATATATTTTTTCTAGTGAAAAGAAAAACAAAGTGGCGGTCAACCCAAGTGTGGCCCTTGAACCATATTTTGTGCTCCAACCTCTACTTTTTTAGGGTCGGGCACTAGCCCATTACCACAATAATTGTTTCTCTTATGCATCTTATTTTTTTTTCTTTATCTTTTGAGGAGAAAATATAAAAAAAAAGTGGTTGAAGCCCCCTTAAAATATCACTAAATGTGGTCAAAAGATTATAAATGACACTTAAGTGTATGGTTCTAAATTTCTATATCAATCAAGTACATCCTCAAAAAATAATGGTAAATTTATTTCAAATTGCACCTATTTGGTTTTGGGAACCAGAAACCTTAGGGGTACTTTAATAATTTTACCTAAAGAGGCCTTAATCAATTGATTAGCAAAGGTAAAATTACCAAATACTCCCTAATTATTCTTGCTTCCCAATATCAAACAGGAACAACTTAAGAATTTCTACACCTTTTTTTTGAGGATGTATCCTATAAATATAAAATTTTAAAAGCATATACCGTCAAGCGTAACTTTTTGACCCCTTTAATGATATTGTAATATGTTTCAATGGCTTTTTAATATTTTCCCTATTTTTTACTATTCGTTCGGCAACATCACGTCTGCTTCACAAGTAATCTCTCTCTCTAGCATATCTTATTTTGTGCATGTGTTTGGACATGGAATTAGTAATGCCTCATTTCCCAAAAGTAATGGTAATTTATTCCCTCTTGTGTTTAATTGAGAAGCCATGAGAGATTCCTCCAGTAACTGTGTTCTTTTTATTAGTTTTCATAGGTGGATTCATACAAGGAGATGATTCGTACAAGGAGATTACATTCGATGTTTTAATGCTCCATTTTGAGCTCACCTGGATTTACTTTTTACTTGATGTGAGTTGTTTGGTTGTGTATCTTTCTTTTAAACAAAATCAAGTGGTGTAAAATAATATAAAAGAAGAGATCGATAACGTAGAAAGAGATTCCAATCCCAAATAAAATGATATAGAATGAGATCCGGATATGCCACTCGTGATTCTAAAGTTTTTTGTCTTAGGTTTGATAGGACTTAAGGCTTATATTAAGTGCAAGTTGTTTGATGGGGTCAAATCTGTAAACCTAGATATTTAGGTACGGGGATCAAAGAGACATGGTGCAAAGAAGGGGACCAGAGAGAGAGAGGGAGATATGGTGCAAAGAAGGGGACCACAGAGAGAGAGAGATGGAGATATGGTGCAAAGAAGGGGACCAGAGAGAGTATTTCTAAAACAGGAATGGATAAGATTGCCAGTGCACTGATCCGGTTAGCCGAAATGGGCCATCTTGGGGGAAAGAAGAAATTGAACAAAGAAATTTATATAGGGCATCTTCCCCATGTATGATCTGTTTATTTGATGATTTCAAAGGTATCGGGATTCGACTTTTGCAGGGTACTCCTCCACAGGCTAAAGTGACTCACTCGTCTGTAGGGGTCGTAATGGACCCGACCAAACCAGGGACACAATGGGGGTAGAGGGTCAAAATTTTGGACCCAAAAGGTTGGTCCAAGTGTAGGCAAAACCTGGATCCGGATACTGTTCAGGTCCAGGTCTACCAAGATAGGTATCTGTGGGTGCTCATAAATATTGCCAATACATTTATTTTTTAGGAATTTCTAGTTGTTACATAAAACAATAAGGAATGTGGGTATTCATAAATGTTGTGCAATACTGTAAATATTGCCAATAATATACATATAGGATGGTAAAAAAAAAGCTCATAGTCATAACCCGTGTGTCTCACATAAAATAAAAGGGAAACACAATTATCTAAAGGAATCCAAAGCCTCTATTCACCTAAGAAAGAAAGTTTATTTAATTAGCGCACAATCACTTTCTCTTGCCAAGGACCATATGCCAAACATGGACTTGTAATGGGGGTTCTCTCTCTCTCTCTCTCCGATCAGGGTCCGGCTCGTTGCAGGAGATGTGGGAATCAAACCAATGCATGGACAATTTTTTTAACCCTTCGAATAAATAAAATAAGGAAAAAGTTTATATGAAGTTGCAACTTTTAAATGTAGAATCACATATGCACCTCAAAAATCCATCGGAAATGTTGTTTTAATGTTGAAAATGCCCTCTAATCAATCATCTTGACATCGAGATCTATAAATATGAAAAAAAAAAAAATTGAATATCGGAAATAGTACATCTTGCAGCACATTACCTAGACCGTCCATTTTTGAGATTTTCATATATT